CCGCATTTAACATTTTAATACTCCTTTACCCTCATGTGAGTCAGTCTTTGATGTTTCTGAAAAGTCCATGTAAATGTCATGCATTTAAGTAAGTCTGTCCTGAGCGCAATTAGGTCCTAATAAAACGAAGGTTAAACTTTAGCAATTTACCTGTCATGCTGCTCTTGGGAATTCGGCATTTAATTCTTTCTAATCACCTGGCAGCCATATCACAAGATTACCAGTTTGATCCATTCATACTTCACACGTACTCAAAGAAAATTCCATTTTGCACCGAGAGGTGTGAATGTTTGACTTTGCGTCGGCCGCTGCTTCCCTGAGAGTTGGGATTAAAGAGCCGCTAACAGAATAAAGGGATTCGAGAGGCGCGTTGCCTCAGGCAGATCGCGTCAGTTGCTAAAGAAGAAGAATATTTGCAGCCGTTGTGTGGCTTATGATTGGCTGGGTTTGCACCACATCGCAGTAGCTCCAGTCCTTTGGCTAAAGGGCACACAGACAAAAAGGCAGAGCCGATTATCTGTGTCTCATCCAGAGGCAGCACACAGCAGACATCCATTGTATGGCTTCAATGTGATGTCGAAGCCTTTCACAGGAGTCACAAAAGACTTGAGATTATTGAGATTTCCCTGATAGTATTGCCATTGTTACTGATATTAAGATATTGCAAGGAGTGTGAAATATCTGTGCAACCAACCTGCAAACCAAAGTAACTGTTTTAGAGTTACACTTTAGTGGGCTTGATAAGAAGTGTTTGATAAGAGTAAACACATTGAATGATAACAACTCCTTCACCCTCTTCAGTTTTCCAATGTTGTCTCATTGTAATGGGCCCACTGTAATATTTGGTGAATGAGGTGCAGGTTCAACGTATCTGAACCACGGCAAGCTACTGAAAATGTAGAGGGTGTTTGAGGTTAACAGGAGTCATGCCTCCATGTATAAGCAGCTGTTGCGCACCACTTTCTACTGACGGAAACATGCTTTACACCAGTTTAATTATGTGTAAAGCAGCACTCAGAAGCAGGAAATGCAGCGTTTAATTCCAAACTTGGCCAATCAGTGCTCCTTTGATGAAACTGTGTGTTGCTTAATGGTGTTGTCAGTGAGTACTTTTATCGCCTTTTTTGTATCACCTTCCTGGTCAGCGTTTGATCTGTATTAATTAAATTCTTTTTTTTAAAAACTGTTATTTGCACGTGCCATGTGGTACGCATCATTCCTCCCCTTTATTCTCATTCACAACAAGTTGTGAAAGCAATTAGAGCAATGCTTTAAGTAGCAGTAATGATACATACAATGAATTAGCCAACAGAGACGCTGTTATTTTAAAGCTTGTAAAGGACTTCCAGGCTTAAATTAAACCATTTGCACATTTCCTATTCATTGCAGGTCACTGTCACCACTGTGTTGCAGCTTTGAAATTGGTTCACTTTCATTGTTAAAAAAAAAGAATGAAATATAATTACAATAACAGTGCCTAGAGTGACTGAGATAACACGGTTTAGCGACACCGTCGTGGCAAAGGGCCACGCTCTCCTTTCGTCACATAAAACGGAAATTATTTCAGCCGGTTTGATCTTCCTCTATTTACATAATATCAGTGTGGTTGAGCAGCACGGGTGGGCATTTATCATTGATACTGCATTTGGAAATATTCTAATAATTAAAGGCAATAGCTGTCCGGTGAGCAGGATTCATTTGGCATGATTGAATGATTGGCACTTTCCAAGCCAATTTGGTTTCGGGTGACCATACAGACACGGTAAAGAGAGTAATGATGTCAGGGACACGTCGCCAGCTCATGATAGAGTGACTCATTTCCTATTAGCAAGGCCTGATTCCACATGGTTTCCTTTTTGCATAACGCCTCGACCCACGTCTGTGCCGCCACGCCACTTCGACTGACACCTCTTAACTAAACACACAAAATGGAATAGACATAAGCCCTCACTCCTCATCAGCATTCAGTAGAAACACGGGCATCACCCTGGCCCTGCTTTTCATGTAGGAAAACAAAGACACCATTTGTACGCATCTAGAATGGTTGCTTAAGAAGAAATAGGATTGCACATCAGAGCAAATCGTGCCCTGTGAGCTGTAACAGTGATTTGGTTCAGGAAGAAACTGAGCTTACTATTTTACTCTGCTTTGTGCGATTTACATTGTGATTTCAGGTCATTTAATTGTTGAATTACACAGCAGCCTTCAGTGTTTACTTAGGGAAAAAGTTCTGGATCTTGTGTGTGAAATTAAAGCTACAATGTTTAATATATTACAAAAAAAAGTGCATTATGTGCTGTTGCTGTGCTGCTGTTTGTTATTTATGGCAAAAAGAGAAATAAGATTTATTCTGCAGTTTTGGCTATTAGTTTCTTTGCAGATGAATCTTATGCATGTTTCTATATATACAGTATTGGTCTAGTTAAACTATGTGTTGTTAAATTTTTTTGCAGCCTGGGCGACTGGAGAAAAGATTTTTCAGTGAAATCTCTCATAATTCATGCATCCATCCATCCATGCATGCATGCATATCTGGGTCTGGGTTGGGCAGCGTCTAATAAGAGATGCCCGGACCTCCCTTTCCCCACTCACTGGCCACACCACGGCGTTCCCAAGCCAGCCAAGAGATGTAATCTCTTGATTCTGACCCTAATTGGACATGCCAGAAACACCTCAACCAGACGGCGCCAAATAACTTAATCTCAGCCAACCTTTTCTGGCAGAAAAATGCTACAGATTTACAATAGTATGCAACTTCTTTAAAAAAGGGCTATTCCGGTTACTGAATATGCTTACTTAAAGCCCCGGAGATTTTGACTTGACTTTGCTTTTTAAGGATTTCTTTAGAACATAATGCATTCATGAATAAATAAAGCCAAGGTTAAAAAATGATGAGTTGACACAGAGAGAAAAACACAAATAGAGAAATCTCTCGTGAAAAATACAAAAAATACTTCTCATGTGGGATCCCAGGTTTTCAAGGCCTTTAATAATCATTTGGAAAGCTATATTTTACACTGTGATCTGGATAGGGATGGGTATTGATAGGATTTTCACGATTCCGATTCCATTTTCGATTCTGTTTAACGATTCGATTCTTTATCGATTCTCTTATCGATTCTTTTT